AAATTACTCCAAATATACCCATCTTGAAACGTTCCAATGAGATAAACATATTATCTTTCAACAGTTTTTTGGATTATGTTCAGGGCCATAGTGAGGAGGCAGAGAGAGGCCTCACAGTGAGCTGGTGCTTTGGCCCATTTATCCCACCTGCCGGGGATCTCGGACAGAGTAAAACCTCACCTCTGGCTCAGATTTATAACATGAGAGTGCATAAATCTTTATTCTTTTCTTCTTATTTCCTGTCACCTTTATTTTCCTCTACACTTACTGCCATCTGACCATGCCTGCTTGTTGTGCCAGGTTTCCTGATTGCACTGTAATTTTAATACAAGGAGAACTTGTTGGAAGAGCTCTCTGCAGAATGGAACAGGTTCAAAAATACTGCACTTATGAAATTAAGTTGATTAAATATGATTAACAAACCTAAATGACTCATCCAGCCACCAGGCTGGCTTGTCTAGGAACTCTAGATCAGGGTATAAAGCAAAGGTCTTAACTGGGCGCCAGTAGATGAAAGAATTTGATTCTTGAGATGGATGCAATTTTATTAGCACACAAACAGTCATTTTAGATTTTTATCCCTGGATAGTACTGAATTCCACTAACACCGATTTCTTACCTAACATCACCCCAAACAAGCTTTAAACAGTCAGCTCTAAACATTTCAGTTGTTCTGCAACTAAAGGGGAGCCCATGTGATCTGGAGTCAGAAGACCAGGGCTGCACCCTCGGCTCTGAAACTTAATTGTGTAAGTGAACAAGTCAGCTCAGCTTCCTTACCTAGGGAATAAAGAGAAGAACTGCTCTGTCTACTTGACAGGATGTTTAAAAGATCGAGAGAGATCGTGTCAATGAAATCATTTTGTGGTGTTATATTTGTAAAGGAGTAAAAATGTTTATCATGACAATAATTACACCATTAGAGGGGCTAAGAATTTTACCCTATTTTTTCCTTTTCTGTTAATATTTGTTGAGTTAATACATGCTAGAGTAGTACCTGGTATTTAATGATCAATAAATTATAGCTATTAACATTATTCCAAGGGCATGTTATCCAAAGGTCTTTATTATCTCTTGGAAAAATGATAGAAGTGATCTCCTGAGGATTAAGGTAAAGCACTTAAAGTAAGAATGATCTGCCCAATCGATATAATTGCCCATCTCTCACCCCTACTTTAAGTTAGTAGGAAAGGGGAGAGTAGGCAGAGATGCATCTGGACACATTAATCTCAAAGAAGAGTAGATTAAAAGCAGAGGACAGGTATAGAGTATCCAAAAGCAGTTTATCCCCCCACAATCCTTTTTACTCCTCCTGTTTACTGCTGATTTCCTGTGAAACCTTAAAATGAGTCCTTTAACCATTTGGTCTTCCCAGGTAAAATTCGGATACCTGCCACCTGTCCAAGATGTATTGATTATGTTTATTAGAATATATAAAAATATAGCTTATGCCCGGCTGGGCGTGGCTCAGCGGTTGAGCGTCGACCTGGGATCCAGGCGATCGGGGTTCGATTCCCGGTCAGGGCACATGCTCGGGTTGCGGGCTCGATCAATGGCTCTCTCATCATTGATGTTTCTGTCTCTCTCTCTCCCCCTCTCCTTTCCTCTCTCTGAAATCAATAAAGAGATATTTAAAAATATATAGAGAGCTTATTATAAGGTTCCTCAAAAGAAGCAAAGTGCTAACAAACCCAGATAGAACCAGATTTTTTTTTCTTTTCCTTTCTCTCTACTTTCCTACTTAATCTCTCTCTCTCTCTCTCTCTCTCTCACACACACACACACACACACAATTTTTGTTGTGGGAAGACTCCAATTACTAGTAGTTATCAGATAAAAATTTTTAGATATAAAATGGAAAATTATTAACATTATAACTAGGGTTTAGACTAGATCACAAAAAAAGAATTTCTTAAGAAAGCTTTCTTCACATTAATGATCATCACCTTCATCTATCACTCCTTTATGTGAAAATATTTTATAGGCCTTTGAGATATAGTGCAGTAATACAGACACTTTTATATCAGGAAAGCTGGTGCTCTCTTTGCTCTGTTCTTTCTCTCGTCTGAATAGAGAATCATCTATTCACTGTATGTTTGAAACCAGTGATTAGAGTCATATTAGGGAATTGCCTCTTCTAAAAGTTAAATGTAGTTGTCTGAAGTATGCTATGGTTTTAAGAACTTAAAAGTCCTCTCTTCAATAGGATAAAGGGTAATAAGGCATAGGTTAGGATATAAACATGAGTTATCCTACAAATAAAACATATATGTAAGGTGAGAAAATTAAATATTCCAAGAAGAAAATATATTTACTTGACTGAGATAGGACTGACATAGGTCAAGGAGATAGAAATAAAGATCCTGAGGGAGAAGAAAGTTAAACGTAAGATTATATAAGGCAATTGTAAGGATGACTTATCTTCCAATATTTTCCTATATTATCTTGCTATGAACTTTTGTTGGTGAGACATAGAATTCAAAATTTCTCATATTTCAGGTTCACACAAGCTTTGGGGAGAAAGATGGATTTTATAAAAACATTTCAACTTCTACAGATGATTTGATTTGGGTTGTGAATATAGAAGAGCACTGCCTTCTTTACTTCCCACTTAAAATTTAAGGAAGAAGCTGGAAAGAAAGAGCAAAAGTAGTAAAATATACAGGATAACATATCAATTAAAAACAAAACTCTGAACTATCAAAATAACATTTTTAAAATAAGAAATGATATAGTTGATATTTTCTACTAAAAACAACAAGTAGTAAATAAACTATTAGGCTCCAATTAAGGGATTATGTTAAATTAGAAGAAACAAAATTTATGACAGTAGTTACTGAATCTTAAGAATAATGAAAAAAGATAAATACACATACACAAACACACACATGAATATAGGCTAGAGAGAGAAGAAAACACATTGTATGAGAGTCCCAGGTTAGTTATTTTCCGTTCAGATAATGACAGCAGCCCAGTCACTATTATAAAGAAATCAACTTACACTAAGTCTTACGGGTTTAGGATATAAATTCTGAAATCGTGTCCTATGAATAACCACAATTATTTAGCACAGGTGCGTATCATTTAAGTGAGCAGCAGTTCTGCATGATGCAGACACAATCTAAGTTGACATCATTTACCTTATTTTATTCCTCCTACTGCCTGGGGTAAACACTCAACCGAAGCAAAAGCTGTATGCCGGCACCACCGGCACCACGCGTCGTCTGTGATAAGCAACGTGCATTAATGGCCATCACAAAGCCTAAGGAATATCAGGATCCTATACTCACATCACTTGATCTCACTGTGAAAAGACTGAGGGTTTGGAGAAACGAATGCTTTATTTAAATTTGAAAACCTTAATCAACACATTTTGTACCAGATACTAACAGATGGACTATGACAGCCATGTCACTGGCCTCAGCCAGCCCCGTCAATGAGAGCTGGCTGATGTAATCCCTGTTTTACAGGAAAACAAAAAGTACAACGGAAATTCATTTTCTATGCTTTTAAACTTGTGAAGTTTAAATGCCTAGAAAAGGGCAGAACAAATGGAAAAGATTTTCAGAAACAGGACATACTTTGAATTAGGTTGATAACCTATATTCACAGTTATTACTGCACTGCGTTATTGGAAAGTGTGATGTTACAATTCTGTATCAGCCCCCACTGAGGGCGGCGGGCACATCTCAGGACACTCACGGTGGGCCACGTCCAGAAAACAAATGAACATGCTGGGTACTGCCCCAACAGACAGGCGTTAACAGAGCTAATAACGTGAGGAAGAATGAAAGGAAATGGCAGAGAGAAGGAGAGGAGCAAATATTAAAAATGCAGTCTAACTGGGATCGTGATTAAAGTCAAATTCAACAAGGGTGTGAACGTATTGAAAGTGCAGTTTCTTAACGAATCCTGATTTAATCTAATGAGCCATTGGGCCCTAATCGTTATTTTTAATAATCATTTTAAACAAACTCACTCTTCTCAGAAATATGCAAAAAATAATAATTCATCGTATCCAAAGTGATTTTAAAGGAAAATATCAAGAGTCTCAAATACATTTAAATGGTTTACCAGGTAAATTTTAATTTTATATAATCTGTATTTTTGTAATGAATAATTTTAAACAACAGGTAGGAGGAAAAGAGCTTCTAATACTTAGCAGCTTATGGCCAGTTTCTTTTCTCTAACCCATATTCTATTACCTAGGATCTTAAAAGTCTACTCCGTGGAGGACTGGAATAGTCCCATATAGCCCTTATCACAACTGAAAGTATACATTATACTTTGAGTTTACTTAATGTGTGTTTCCTCCACCAGCCTGCACACTCTGTGGGGCCAAGGCCACATCTACTTTATTCCCTGCTATGTATCTAGTACAAAATAGGCCATCAAAATGGGTAAAATGGAATCACTGAAACACCGCAGAACCCCCTACTATTCACTCACTTCACCCCTGACACACATAACTTCAGCGATGACTCTGAAAACTAGAACACAGGGAATTTCTGCATCTGCTCCACTTCTCTGCTCCCACTCCATCCCTGGTCCACTGCACTCTGGCTGTAATAAATATATTCTGTTAATGCTCTTACCATGCTGCATTGTAACTGACTGCTCCAAAAGGAAATTAGTTATCTGTGTGCCCATTCATCTGACAATGCTAGGTGATTCCCTTCACTTTCTAACCAACAGCAAGAAATGGCTCATGAAAATGACATATTCATTAGTTTAGAAAGTAAGGACGTACTGCAGGGCATAAAAGAGATATTGCATGAAATCAAAGACAGCTGATAATTACAACAAACAGAATAAATCACCTTCTTCTAGTTACAAATTAATAGGATTAAAAATTGTAAAGTGAAGTATCTTCCAAAAGGAAAATCCTATATACTTAATAACAAATCGCCAAGAGTCCTATTCTGTTTTTCCATATAAAATAATACATTCACAATCTTTTCAGTAAAAAAAAAACACAAAAAACAGAAAGAAATACATACATGACGGTGTTAATGCCTGAGAGCTGTTGGAACATTTGTAGGCCACAACCCACAATTAAAGCGCGGCGAGTGGGGGGATAACTCAGCATCCTGCAGATCACAGGTCCAGCTTTTTTAAAAAAGAAAGAAAAAGAAAGACATAGCTATTATTTTAAGTTCCCATAGTTTCTGTGAAATCAACATGTCTGGGAATTTCAAAATAGAACATACATACTTTTGCAGAAATCTGGGCACAATGTATTTTTTAAAACAGACTTATTATATATATTTGAGTTTACACTGTAAAAGCAACAAGTGAGAATTCAAGTTGAAGCAACTTGACACTAGGAAGGCCTACATAACTCTCAGAGATTATTGTCCCTTAAACCCAGAGTAGCTGTATGAACCACTCTTCGTTCTTCCACTTCCTTGGCAGTTAATTACTTAAAATCCATTCAATGTGGAACTACTTACAAAGTCACTGACAAATTGCTTTAATTGTCCAAAAAAAATGGCATTCATTAAAAACAATTAAACAGGGAACAGAAGTCATTTGACTGAAGTGACAAAATTCATTCTAATCTACTCAAATGAAGTTAAGAAATCAGGGCATCAGACTTTGTTACAGCTACAATGGATATTATTAATAAAAGTCACCAAAAATAATCAAAGAAAGAATATTAATGTCTCTTTTATATAGGTATATATGTGGAATTTCTGGATTTTGAGCTTGCCCCACAGTGGCGTTCAGTGATCATTTCAAGATATAAACAGGCTTTCAAAACGGTGCCGGTGCCTCGGCTCCTCTCTGAGAACTCGAGATTAACTCTGGGAAGCTATAGATATGAACCACTGAGGCCTTGGTAAGGTGACTAACCCTACTGATGTCTGTTGTCTGGGCATAAATACTAAGTGCCCCTTCTATTCTCACAAGTGCTTCAATCACAACTTCACCCTAGCCTTAAGAGGCATTCTATATAGTGTCCTCTGGAAGCCAGCGTCGACTCCAAGGAGCTGTGGTATCCTGCTGTTGGAAGAGACAGCCTCTAATCACTGGGATGTTAACTGCTTAATTAGAGAGATTTTTTCTGGAGGCCAAGTCTCATTAGTGGACTCTAAACCAAGACAAGTAAATTAAAATCCAAGGAAGTTCTACCATTTCAGGAGTCTTTCGGAAATCTAATATTCTAGTTCACAGGAATGGAATGGAATGGAACATGCCATTGTCTCAGCAATAAAAGCTAATGTGGGATGTCAAGCCCGGGTATTAATTAGAACTGAGTATTACAGGAGTAAGAATATTCATCTCTACATAGATATGACTATAATCATACGAAGCCTTGATTTACTGCAAATGATTGTGTCTCTAAATGATAAGATGGGACCCAGATAGAGAAGCATTGATAGTCACTCAAAGCTCAATGCAGTGACAACCCATTTATAAAGCAGGCTGATAGTATCATAAATTTCAAATTGCTTTAGATTCAAGTGAAGCAGCATTAAAACCTAGAAAGCTTGTATGAAACAGGTAGATTTGGGGAGCTTTACTGTGATAGTATTAACCTATTATCGGGATCAGTAGTTGTTTGAAAGATGAGCAGTCTTACCTACAAATTTAGATATCTATAAAGGAGCCACAGAATTAAAAGGTGCACAGTATCCTATAAATACCTACCTATTTCCATAAACCAAAAAATTCAAATAAAAAGATTATCATTCACTTTGTGTACCATGGAAAACTTACAAAACAACAACTGACAACCACAACAGAAAAACAAGCAAAACCCCTTTTCAGTTTTTAGTGGCCTCCACAGAAGAGAAACTGGCCTCCCGCAAGGAATCTATTATAGTCTTTGGACAGCTGCATCTACTTTTACTATTAAACTGTTCCATGATTTAATGGACAGACTAGCTAGTACTACCTTTAGAGGGCACGATAGTAAGAGAAAATTATGACAAATTAGGCTTAAAGTTTGACTTGCCAAAATATCAAGAGATAAACTATCACATAAACACTACATTTATTTTCTAGTTTTTAATAATCTGGCTTTGGACTTTCTCTTGCTTTGAATTTCCTGTTAAAAATAAACCATGGTACTTCTTTATTAGACTGGATTTTTAAAAAAAATAGACACATTTGGTCATAGCAGCTCCACATCTGATTATACATAAACAAATTTAAAAATTTCCTTTCATTAAAATCATACACCTAGCTTTAGTAGGCAGTAAAACTTAACAAATGCAAACCATCATTAATCTTTGTATCACAGAAGCTCTGAGGCAGAAGAAAAAAATCAAATGTATTAATTGGCTAAATGTGCATAAGTGAACATTTAGAATGTCATGCTCTACTTATTACATTTCTTTTAATTTTTATAATTAAAAACATTGTGTACTCAAACATACTTAATTTTTAAAAATCTGTGTCTTTGAAACACAGAAATTCCCACACAATTAAAACTAAAACCTCTAGTCTGGCTGGCGTGGCTCAGTGGTCAAGCGTTGACCCATGAACCAGGAGGTCATAGTGGATTCCCGGTCAGGGCACATGCCCGGGTTGTGGGCTGGACCCCCTGTGGGGGGCGTGCAGGAGGCAGCCGATCGATGACTTTCTCTCATCATTGATGTTTCTATCTCTCCCTCTCTTTTCCTCTCTCTGAAATAAATAAAAACATATTAAAAAAAAAAAGGAAACTAAAACTTCTAAATAACTAAAGTAGATTGGAAATACAAGACTCAAAATATAACATGATAAAACAAGATATTTGAGAACCCAAAGTGGGTTCGTCTTTTCCTTTATTCTGAACACATTCTTACTAATTAGCTTTCACAATGGTTGTCCAGGTGTGGCAGGGGCTTGGTGGCACAGATGACAAGGACAGTCACACCAGTGCAGCTGTTCCTGTGGACAGACTGTCTGTGAGGGAGCTGAGCCTACAGAAGCTTCTCCAGGTATGATTAAAAATGCACCAGAACATATTCTGTATAGGATCCTAGCTTTTGATTTTCACTTCCAGTCAAAATGGAACAATAGTCACCAGTTACCTCCAACATGAAACAACTGAAAAACTATGTGAAACTGAATGAAACAATAGTTCTCACGATAATGGAATAAAGGATAGTGACTCCTGAGATTCAGGAAAAAAATGAGATGAAACCTACAACCGTCCCAGCTTAATGCCTTGAAAAAATGTTCAGGCTGCAACAGAGGGAGGGGAAATCAGGCAGATCTTGGCGGTCTCCATGAGTTGAAAAGATGCAGCTCAGACTCCAGGGATGCCTGGGTGGCTAGAGTTCACAAGGCAGAGTGCCAAAGAGAGAGATTCACAGGAGAGGACTGTGGAGATCTGCAGCCCCCCTGAGTATTTAGTTAAGTTCTGATCAGTGGGAATGTGTGAGGAAACTACCGAGGCAGGGAAAGAGTCAACAGAAAGGATTAAAGAAATCAGTCCCAGGAATTCACACAGGTCTGGGAACAGGACCTATTCCTACAACCTGAGTGAAAACTTAGACCATAAGAAAGAGTATTCAGGAGGGTTTTACCTCAGTAATGTTATACATTTAGTCTTAGATTCTGTATGGGTACCATCTAAAACAGCTTAAAAGCAAGACCCAACTGCTTTCAAGTAACTGAGTAGTATCCCAGAACAAAGTTTAACAGTAAGATAAAATTTACAATGTCTGGAATACAATAAAAAATTACTAGCCATTCAAAAGAGACAGGAAAGTACAACCTGTAACAATAAGGGGATTAATTAATTTGTAGGACTGTAGGACGTAACAATCCAAAATGTCTATGCACCTAATCACAGCTTCAAAATGTATGAAACAAAAAAGACACAATTGCAAGGGAAAATATAAAGATCCATAAATATACTCAGATATTTCATTACCCCTTTCTCAATAACTAATGGAAAAAGTAGGCTGAAAATCAGCAAAGACACAGAAATCCTCAACAACACTATCAACAAACTTGACCTAACTGATATTTAAACACTCTACCGACCAAGAGCAGAATACACATTCTTTCCAAAAGTAAATGCATGGTAAATGTCTTGAAACATTTACCAAGACAGATTATATTTAGAGGTCTAAAACCAGTCTGGATTTTAAAAGATTCAAGTCATACAAAGGAATGTTCTCTGACCATAATAAAATTAATATAGATAGAAACAAATAACTGAAAGAAAACTAAGAAATCCTCCCCAAAATGGAAAAGAAATAGTACCTTTGCATGGATCAATTAAGTGATGGGAAATCAGAAAGTATTTTGAACTGAAAGAACATGAAAACACTGCATATGAACACCTGTGGAATGAAGCGAAAGTAGAATAGAACAGAAGAAAATTTATAGCAATGACCCTGGCTTCCAGCTTACAAAACCAGAAAAAGAGGGACAGGTGAAACAAAAAATAGCACAAAATAAAAAGAATAATAAAGATCAGAATGGAAATCATTGAAATAGGTAAGAAGACAGTTAAGAAAAAAAACAATGGCACCAAAAGCTGGTTCTTTGAAAACATGGATAACATTGATAAACTTTGAGCCAGACTGTGGAAGGCTGACCACCAGCTGCTCAAAACATACGCACGTCTTAATCCCTGGAACTTGTTAACATTACCTTTGATGGCAGAAAGGACTTTGCAGATGTGATTAAGTTAAGGATTTTGATTATCCAGGATTACTTCAATTGGGCCTAAATTGGATCACATGTATAAAGGGCTATCTATAGGAGGGAAGTAAAGGGGGGTTCAGGACAGAATAGGAGAAAGCAATGTGACCATGAATGCAGAGACTGGACTGATGCAGCAATAAGCCAAAGAATGCTGGTACCACCAGAAGCTGGAAAAAGCAAGGAACAGATTGTCCCTGGAGCCACTGGAGGGAGCACAGCCTTGTGGACATCTTGATTTCAACCCAGTGAACTAATTCTGAACTTGTGGCCACCAGACCGTGAGAATAAATTTCTCTTGTTTTAAGCTACCAAGTCTGTGGTCATTTGTTACAGCAGCCATGGGAAACTAATACCCAGATTGATAAGGACAAAAAAAGAGAGAAGACACAAATTACGAATATCATGAATAAGACAAGCGAGATCATTACAGATTCTATAGATATTTAAAAATAATA